CTATCAACCATGATACCCTTCCTGGACAGTTAATTAGTTTGGGAGTTGGAAGAACTACACTGACATGGTTAGCATGACATGACAACGCACCATGGGAAATGAGCCATGGTTGGTTGTTGTGTTGTTTGAATCCAGATAATTTTCTTCAGGTTGGTTTCTTTTCCCCAGCAAGCCACCCTGAGAACCCATGGACTATATTACAGGTTGTGACCCTGGATGACTGTCCCACCATGAGTTGAGGATAATGGAAAGTAAGCAGTGTGACATATAATATTTTGTCACTCTTGCTGGACTCACACAAGCCACAGTCAATTATTTATTATTTATTTATTTAAAACATTTCTATGCTGCCCCTATTGCAACAAAGCCTCGGGGCGGCTCACAACAAAAACAAAAACATACAAAATTATACGAAAACAAAGTTATACACTAAAAATATTAAAACCCGGTGCATCTTGGCTTAAAACTTTTTAAAATCCTACATATCCCAGCTGCTCCACCAATGCTCAACTGGCAACATGTTAATTTCCTCCCCATCACTACTGGGAGCTATTTGGCTCCCCATGGCTTCCTGCCCACCCCAAGATTATTTTTCATGAACTCTGTTTTGACATCTACTGACAGCTTCTCCTAAGTGCCCAATGACTGCATCCCCCCATTTTTGGTGCCCCAAATGAACACCGTTTTATTAATATATTTTTAAAACCTAGTGTTATCTAGAATTGCAAAATTCTGGAGGTACAAGTGTGCACATTTCTGCTTGTGCAAAAATTGGGAATCCTCACTTGGGCAATGTCTATCAAAAGAGAGCAGGTACTAGCTGTGGCTATTTACTCAAAGAGACTACCAATGTATTTGATGTTTTTGCAATTGCTTTGTTTTGAAAGTTGTTGAAAGGCAAACTGTCAGTTCAAAGCAAATAGGTGATCTTTGCTTATGAAAAGAGGATGGAGAGATTTATTCTAGGACCCTCAGGCTTTTTGGCATTCCTCTGTTGGGTCTCAGTTCCCCCAACCTTTCCACATATTCCTGAGAGTCTAAGGTATTTTCGGAAAACGAAAAATTGTAGCCCACCTCTTTTGACCAGAGTATGTACATTTGACAAGCCACCAGTAAAACCTCTAGTTCCTTATAAAAGGGGTTGGGGTTTGATAGAATTCCCCATGGTTGTTTTCACAGGGATATATGCATTCATGTCTGTATATGTTCCAGTGGAAAAAAAACATGGGGAGCACCAAAGAAAGAAAAATTAAAAGGTGCTTAACTTCCTTCATCTTTGGAACAGTACAATTTCAGTTAAATAAACAAATGAACACATTTCTGCACATTTGGGGTGCAAAAATAGAACAACTTAAAAAGCTGTGACAAACCATAACCCTGCCAATGGGCTACTTGGGCACTGTTGAGGGACTGTCAAAGCAGAAAGTGTGAAAAGCAATCTTTGAAGTGGGGAGGGGAATGTAAAAGAGCAGAAAAAAGCTGTAGTGAGCAAAATTGGTTCCTGATTGTAGTAGGAAAGCAATGTGAGCTGCAAAGTCCATTGGGATGCTGGCTGGCTGACCAAAGGGGAAAAGAACCCATGGTAAGCCCAAGTTATAACAACAACCAGACCCAGCCAGTGTGCTGGGTCCAATCCTATTTGCCAGAATATTCCCAAAAGATGGTGCTGGAAGAAAATAACTCAGCCCATTGGCCCATGGAGTGCCTCAAGAGTCTATTTTATCCCTTTTATGCTTTAATCTTGAAATGAAAATAATGGAAGAGATGCATTTCCAAGTGGAGTCTAGAGAAAACTTGGATCAGCGTCTAGATTGGATGTAGGCAGAAAAGCTGAGACTCATTCCTTACCAGACAGTCTTTTTTGTCAGACTCTGGTCAGTACAGGATGGGCTTGTACTTCCTTCTGAAGGCTTAGGTACCCAGCCTGGGAATACTTCTACATCCACCATTGCCCTGGAAACTCAGGTAGCACTAATGACCAGGCATGCCTTTTCCCAGTTTTAGCTGGTATGCTAGTTGCGCCCTTTCCTGGCCACAATGATACAAGCCAAGTCCCCTTCCTGCTTAGGCTGCTGTCCTGCATTTTATGAGAGGATGCCTTTGAGGAGTGTTTCAAAATTTCAGCTAGAGAAAAATGCTGCAACCAAACAATTGTCTGGTATACATTTTACAGACCATATTATATCAGTCCTACAGCTGTTGTATTGTCAATCTATATTCATGGTTTTTATCTAAACAGCTTGGGTCAGGAAATCTGATTGACTGTGTCTGCCTACATGATTCTTCATGCATCTCAGATCTTAATCTGAGGACCTGCTTTACATTCCACAACTAAAAGAAGTTAGGTTACTAGGAACACAGGTGCTGTGATCCTGAAGTCCAACAGTGACTTGGACATGGATTCAGTGGCTGAGAAGATAGTGGTGCTAAGAAAGGAAGCATCAGGCCCAATAACCACTGTGGAAACAAGAAACTTCCAAGGCAGAGCTGCTAGAGAACTCCAAGCCTAGACCAACAACTGTACCCCCTGAGTCTCACTTTAACAAACCAAGAGCTTCAAAAATGAATGAAGCTTGTGCACCAACTCTGGCACAGGATCCAGCAATGAGATCTTGGAGGAGTGCTTGCCTCCAACCCAGAGGCCCATCCCTTTATACCTTTCCACATTCTAGGAATGGCTAGGGTCTGGGAGGGGAATTCTGAACTGAAACATAAAAACTTCAGGTATTGGACTGTTGAAGCAAGTTGTTAATTGTTAGCTTCCAAGTTTAACTGAATGCATTATGATACTACTCTTCATTAATAAGTTATTACTAGCCTATTACTCTATATAAATAATGCTTATATCTTAGTTGTATTTTATTGTATTATGACATAATGCTTTTAAGTGTTAGAAGACACTGTGAAGATTTCATTGGCAGTAAAAGAGTAGAATAAAAACCTCTATACACATGGATAAATGTAAACTCTAATACAACCTAAGGCTAGAATATCTGAGGAAGTATCTCCCATCCCCATAACTTCCCCCTGCTCAGATCAAAATCAGAAAAAGAGGAGTTACCTCACGTGCTCGCACCTTCTGAGGCAAAGTTGTTCATTAATGAGGTGAATGTTGTTACAGTGGCAGCACTTTAACTGTGAAACTCCATTCTGAAGGGGATATGTCAGAACCATGTTATCAGTTGCCCTTCTGAAAGGACTAAAACACAACTGTTCAGTAAGCCTTGGTGTTCTACTCTGTGGGATAATGTTGCAAAATATCTCCTCCTGTCGATTTTATCTTAATGGTGATGCTTTGTTTATTTGCTTTTTTTACACTATTGCATTTACCGAGGCACCTTAAGGCCTTTACACTGAAATATGGGAAATAAATAAATGCAAGTATCAAACAACACTCATCTAATTACTGCACAGCTCAGAAGTGAGTGTTTAAAGGCAAACATATATTCCTGTTTACTCTTCCAGGTTTTCTCTCAAAGCAAACACTACAAGAATTGAGACACATGAAGAATTTGAGGTACATGGTTTCCAAGGAAACAAACATAGTAATAATGGACATCTGCTTTGGGGTTTCCCATGATCTTAACTCCAGCACTAAACTAAGTCCTTAATTTACAAGATCTCAGCACCATTATAGTTTTGGGGATCACATAAAGAATACAATCCATACCAGGCCTAGAATAATTTCCCATCTGCTATTCATGAAGAACTAACAAGAATTGAGAGTCTAGCCGATTAACTGGGGATCAGATTTGCTTAAGGAGTACATAAAATAACCCCAGAGAGTTGCCTCCATTGTTTTGCCAATTGGAACACAATTCTACAAGGCATAACTCCTGAAACTGCTTCAAAAACATTATTGAGCAACATTTTAAATACCACCAGTATGTACATTTCCCAACAATTGGACTTTGTGAACATTTACAGAAGTTGCAGTTACAGAAGCTTAGAAGAGGTTAGCCTCTTCATAGAAGACACATGCTTCATTTTTTTTATAATGAAGCACAGAGGAACAAAATAAGAACCATGAAGTAAATGAAGAAGCATTTCTCCTTAAGCTAGATTCACACCTTCTTACATACCTTTTGGTTCCAGTTCTTCATATGGCTCTCTCAATCAGCCATCACACATATACAAACTGTTTTGCTTGAACTGTATTGTATTCTAAATGCATTCTGCTTCTATTTTCACAAGTGATGATTAAGAGTGGTCTCTGCATTTGCCACATTTTAAAGTCAAAGAAAGAAGATGTACTGGATTTTTAAATGGCTCTCTGCTATTTTCCATTTCATAATAAGTTTCAGAAGTGGTATATCTGATAACAAGAGCCATTCTTAGTACCACTTGTGAAAATATCCAAGTACTCTAGATGACAACACTAAAGTAACCAGAATCACTAATACTTTTACAAATCCTACAAAATACCATTCAGCTCATGCAGACAAGTGAGTGACACAAATGCAATTTTTATTCTGTGAAAATACACTTTCTAAATTGACTGAAGGCTGTGCAGGGAGAGTGTCCTTGTGACTGATACAATCAAGCAGGAACAAACTACTTATATTGTAAACTAGGTAAGTAGGCTGCCCTGTCATCTTTACAGCAGAAAAAAGCAAGAGATAAATCATCTAGAGCAGTGGCAAACTGAAATCATGAAAGATATAGAAATACTTTTCATGAAAACAGCCTAAGGAACACTTCATAAATGTTTATATTTAAAAACTTAGATTAATTAATGCCTAAATAAGCCTAAAACACACCTTTAAATCATAATTGACTAGATAATGCATTTTAGTGCTATCCCACATTATACTCAAATACTGTGCAGTTTTTACCATAATGTAAAAGAGGTAATAAACCACAGCACTATTTTGGAGAAGAATCCTAATTTTCTTCCTTTATATACAAAATGGGGTGGCAGGAGTGGGGTGAGGGAAGCTATAATTGAAGGCAACATGACGGTCTTTAAAGCAAGGATATGGTAACACCCTTGCACTTACGTATTCCTTCACATTTTTCGTCTTCACAGCTTTGTAAGAAGAGTATGCAGGATACAGGGTGCCAAAAACCAGCCTGCAACAGAACATTTTAGAAAGAAAGAATCCCTATTAGATTCCCCCCGCCGTCCCATTTATACAAGATTTATACACACGCGCCCAGTCCTGGCAACATCTAGCCCTCCCAGTCTGTCCCTTTTCCTGCCAGCATCGCAGGCACTTTGCTCGCTGCCCGCGACAGTCACAATTCTCTTCCTCGCCCTCAGGCTGGCGCAGAGCAGATAAGGGGGCGAGGGAATCCCAGCGGTCAGGCAACGCCCCTGGGCTGCTCTGGCGGCCATCCCTCAGGTCCAGCACCGAGATGGACAGGGGAGCGAGGGGACGAGGAGTCTTCGCCTCCAGCCTAGAAACCACCAAGGCGAAGGGACCGAGCCCTCGGAGGCCGCTGAAGCCGGGGAGACGACTGAGCGCGGCGGACACCTCGGGGATGATAGGACTCTTTGGGAGAGGGAGCGCCGCCCGACCAAAATCCCCCGTCCCCGTCCCGTTGCCTAGCAACGGCAAGGAAAAAGGCCTCTCCCTCCCTCCCTGCTGGCCGGCCTGCCGCCGCCGCCGCGCGCGCTTACACCACCAGCCGCGAGATGATCCAGGACACCATGGCGAGGCCGAGGCTCCTCCGGGGAGCCGGCGGGGACTGGGGAGCTGGCTTTCAGCACCGTCCGCAGCGAGAAAAGGGAAAGCGCTCTTAAAGGGCAGGTTGCTGCAGCAAGCCCGGCCCCGCCCCGGTCTCTTAAAGGGGAGGAGCCGGCGGCAAGTCGGAGGGAGAAGGGCAGCCAACCGCATCACAACGAACTTGCCAGTGTGGACGTTGGGAATTTGCATCGGCACACGCCTCGGTTCCTCCTCGGACAGACCCTCTGCCCGGCGGCGCGTCGAGCAACGGGGGTCCGTCGCTAGAGCAGAGCGAGCTTCGCCTAGCCTGGAGGGAGGAGCGAGAAGGCTTAGGAGCCCTTAGGGGCAGCAACGTTGCTGGTATCGGCGGGCGTCAACCTGTCTCACGATGGGAAGGCCCCGTGGAGCCACGCTGAGTCCAGTGCATCTCTCTGGTGGTCTACGCAGGAGAAGCCTCCAGCGTTATGATCCCAGCAGTGGTGCGTAGGAACCGGGCAAGGCCAGGAAGGGTGAAGGAGCCGAAAGACCTCCTTCTCTGGAGACTTTACAGGGAGGGTATGCACCCAGTAGCAGCCTTGCCTAACCTGAGGCGCTGCAGATGCGTCGGACTACAACGCCCAGTTCCCTGCTAGCGCGGCCAGTTACAGGCATTGTAGGTTGACACATCAGGAGGGCACCATCTTGGGGAGCGGTACTCAGTACTGTTTATAAGCAGGGACACACAACACACAGTCACTCTCGTTTAGGCACTGTTAGTCTTTCCAGGTTAGGCCCCCTCCCCGCTTCTAGGGTTTGTTTATCGCCTACTCGAGTCACGCGCGTGGGAGAGAAACCCTAGTCTTAGCTTCTTCCTGCATATTTCTTCTTTCTCTCAAACGGCTTATGTTTGAGGTTTATGAACAACCTTTCAGATTATGGTAGCATTATGGTGTGAGGTTTCCCCCTTCCCTGCGCTTACAGAAACAAAAACCGAAGCCTCAGCCCTTTCCCTTCCATTCCTCCAGCAGCAACAGCCCATCATTCAGTTGAACACACTAAGGGGGGAAGAGCTTCTCCGCATGGGCAGGGTTGCCTTTATGTTGCTGCTAGGAGCAGAAGGATATTCAAGATCAGAATTATCTACAGCTCACCTTGGTTGGGGCAGCAACAGCAGTAGAGTGGGGGGGGGGGGGGGGGGGGGGGGAAGCCCTCCCTCTAACCTGCTCACACTCTTGCTGAGGACCCACCTAGCCATGCCAAAAACTATTACTGTGCTGCCATACCAGTAGATGTGCAAAGAAATAAGGCAGCTTGTAGCTTTAGTTGACTTAGGGATTGATATATACACACAGGGTAGGTTGCTCTCTGCCCTGCTCTAGTATGACCTAGCTATTCGATATGTAAAAGAAAACTATTTTTTAAAAGACAGAGTAAAATGGATCAGTAGTTAAGATTGTTGTACAAAATCCAAAAATTTTAAACATCTTAGCTGGACAATAGACATTACAAAAGGAATCAAGGCAACAAAGTGAAATCACAAGGGGCTGTTAACAGTTATTGATGAAAATTAATATCTGAGAAGGCATTTAAAAAGACCTAGATTCATAGGCAATGAAAAGGAGGCCTATATTAGCACCTGATGAGGTTCAACAAAATAATGTATTTTACCGACTGCCCAGCTTTGCATTCTTTTACCAATGTACCATTTTAAAAACATACTGGAAATGTTCAATATACCAATATACTAATTGATAAGGAGTGCAGCAACTGTAGTAATTGCAGTAACTTCCCATGCAAGCAAAGTGATGCTTACAGTGTTGCAGCATAGAATGTTACTCTGTATGGAGTCAGAGAAGACTGATATTCAAGCTAGATTCCAAAGAGGTATTTAAGCTCATACTGCAAATAAGTGTTGGCTATTGGAGCACCGCAAAGAATTTCAGAAGAAGATTTCATGAGAACCTATAGTTCTGAAATAAATTGGTGTGCCTTAGCATTTGATTGTTCTCATTTGTGTTGTTCTCATGGACAAGAAGCTACTGTAAGGACAGAATATGGAGAAACAGAATGGTTTCCCATAGGCAAAGGAATCAGATAATGGTGCATTTTATCTACTTCTGTGTTCAATCTGTATACAGAACATAAGGAAAGCTGGATTAGATTCAGAAGAAAATTGGAGGAAGATGCATCAGTATTTTAAGATATGCTGATGGTACCTTATTACTGGCATAAAGCAGCAATAAACTGAAATGACTCCTGGTGAAAGTGAAAGAAGAAAGTGCAAAACAGGGCAGCAGCTGAACATTAAAAGACAAAAATCATGGCTACAAAAAATTATACAGCTTTAAGTCAAAATGAAGAAGTTGAAGTTGTGTATCTTGGCTCAGTCACCAGTTCAAATGGAGAGTACAGCCAAGAGATTAGAAGAAAACACTTAGAAGGGCAATAATGAAGGTACTAGAAAAGATAATCAAGTTTAAGGAAGTTTCCATTGGAGACTAAGGCCAAGGTAATCTACACTCTTGTATTCTTGATCACTGTATATTAGCATGACAGCTGGACAGTGAAGATGATAATGCTATGGAAATTTGTAGGCAGAAGACCACCACCAAATATGAGATGAATCAATACCACAGAGGAAACTACAGCCTGGAATTTACAGAAGCTGAGAAGGACATTTTGGAGGCCTGCAGTCATGGGGTCGCCATCAGTTGGCAGCATGTAACAACAACAAATTCAGGAATTTATTAGCCATGATGATGAATTACGGAATTCTGTCTTCTGAAATTAAAGATAATAAACTTCAAATGTATACATACTGTTATCAGCCTGATTGTTTTTATTGTTTTTTATTTTAGTGTCTTGAGTATTTTAGATTTAATGTTTACTCACTATAAAACAAAACAAAGGGGAAAGGCTGTGTAGTATATTATAATTCCCAAATTTTTTTTAGCACTACAGATTTAAAGTTTTACCAGATATTTCTAGAAATCTGAAAACTTTTAAATACCACCAATCAATAAGTATGCTTCAGTTGCCAAATGAGCCACTGGAAGGGAAAAATGATCTGGAAAGCATCTACCAGTTGGTGAAGAAATACAGTTTGCCAGAATCTTCAAAGCATTTCAAAAGGCTAGACCCCTTGCAGCGCAAGCAGCCAGCTGGCTGTCTTAAAATGCTCCAGTGGAAAAGAAAGGAGCATTGAAGGCTATGTTTTTTTGATGTGCTCCCATCACTGAGCAATTAACTCCATTGCTGGCCAGCTCAGTGCCCTGAATGGATTATTCAGCAAAAAATGTAATTGCAGGCAGACTGAGCTATGGAATGACAGCAACTTAGTGAATCTAGGAAGAACAATGGAAGAGGACAAAGGCTTAACAGGGTTTGAGGAAAGTGTTTGGCAAGTTTTAGTTATAAAAAGTTATGCTTTATGCCTATTATTTAAGTTAGTCAGAAACTTCCACACAAGTTTCTGTATTCTTACCTACACAGAAGACCTGGATCAGAAAATTAAATTTAAATGCTCACCTCTTAGAGAAAAGTTATTTTCTTCTCTGGAGCAGACCCTTTTTGGAAGATGGGGCAATTGCTTCACTCTTCACAGATGGAGGGGACCACATCTAATGTGCACATTTGAACCTGCTTAATGCTTGTTTAAATAAATACTTAGGAATAATTCTGTACTACAGAACCCTAACCCTATTGCTACCAATATGATGTTGAGTATTTGGTTAAGAAATTCCTTGCAACTTTTTATTCTAGAAAAAAGACTAAACAAAGGAAGCTGGGTCGGGGGAGATCAGTGGACAATACTTTCCATTGCAAGATCTCCCCTCTCTACTGCTTCAAATGTACATGTTTCAGTGACAGGAAGAAATGAGGATCAGCAACATGCCAAAATTCATAATATTTGTGGAGAACAGAAAGCACATAACAATCCTGATACATACAAGTACATAATCCCAAAATTGCCAAAATCTAGTAGGAATGAGCAAGTGTGCTGAACTACTCAGAATGTCCAAATTTGAATGTTTTGCTGATGACCTATCAACAAGGTCACTGTAGGTTGTCAACTGAATCTAGAAGTGACAAACCTGTCCAAGTCCATGTGTGTCCTCCTGCTACAGCTGGCAATTTGTGGGTTAATTTACAGTGGCCATTATATGAAACCAGGTGTGAATGCAGGGTCTGTGATGAGCACAAAAAGGTTTTTTGGGGGGGATTATTAGATCACATAGCTTTGTTTTTAAGAGACAGCTACAACCTTTCCATTTTTCTAAGGGATTTTGTGGCAGTGGGTGGTGAAGTATTTGTTCTTGTCTGAGCTGTTGTCATATTGGAGTGGAACATAAGAAATGATGAGAAAATTAAAACAGGCAGCATAGTATTGCCACAGGCCATCTCATTGGAGGGAAGAAAGCAATAACTTTGTCTAGGACTAGATCATCATATTGGGTCCAGGGGTAGAACAGGAGTCAAACTGGAAAGCTAGCTGTGCTAAGAAGCTGAGCAGCAGAATTGCCATAGTAACTGGATAATGAGCAGAAGATCGGAAGGGCTAACTAGAGGTTCCATCATGTGATACTGTCCCAACACTAATTTGTTCATTTGAATTAAAAGCAATTTGTGGAGGGCAGAAATTGGGAGTTAGTTAGTTCTTTGCAAGCTAGTGATGCTTGCCAATTATTCACTGAAAATGTATCTTATCTTTACTTCCAAGGGTATAGTGCAGATTATCCTGATATAGATAGGAATTTTATGAATAGATACCCACTCTTGCCTTTAATATCTGAAAATATGACAGCAGACAGTGCCTCACTTTGGGTCAGCACAGGAGAAAGGGCTATAAGCAGGGCGGAGACTGAGAGGGGGTAGAGAAGGCTCAGCACTTCGCTCTGGCTGAACTCAGATATGCAACAATAGGGATGTGCAGCGATAAAGCCTTGTGAAAAGAAACTGGAGCAGCAGGAGGACTGTGCTTCATGACAATAAGCATCATTAGGACTCACATGATTGGTTTTCTCTTTTACTG